TTTCCTTACTCCACACACCTCTGTTTACCCAGCAGTAAGTAGCAACCCAGTTGTCAGTTGATTGGCAAATCACTTTTCCGGGGGTAATAATCCCTTCAAAATAATAATTTTTTAAAACTCAATAAAAATACTAATGATTTGCACACTCGAACCACAATTGTTTGTGGGACACTCCTGTGTGCAATTAGCTTCCTCGTTTCACCCACAAAAGTAGACAGTCACTACACAGTATATCCTGTGAAGCGCTTTAAGCCATTTCCACAACATGATAAGGCGCGATATTGAATGCAAGGATTATTATTATTATTATTATTACATTACTGGGCCTCTAACATTACTGGGATTCCACTACAGATGCCTGGGATGAACAGGATGATGAAGAGATGGTTCTTGCAGATGATGTTCCACATCATGGACACCTTTAGGACAGTGAAGTCTACACACCGAGCTCGGTGGTGATGAGGAGGAGCTGCTGCAGGAAGTTCAGGTGCAGCTCAGATGAATAGGACCACATTCTGTTCTGGTTTTTGAGGGTTGTGTGAGCTGTGGGTGTGTGGGTCGGGAAGGTGGGTGCGGACGAGCTCTCTTGACCTGTAGTTCAATAATTAGCGGTGCTCGTTTTCACCTTGCAGAGTCATGGCGAAACCTTAGGCAAGTTTCCTTACTCCACACACACACACACACACACCTCTGTTTACCCAGGAGTAAGTAGGAACCCGGTTGTTAATCGATTGGTGGATTGTTTTTTGGGGGTAATAATCCATTAATAAATAAATAAAATAATAATTTGTTCATTAATCCTCAACTTTGTTGGTCACTGCTGTGCGCAATTAGCTGCCATGTTTCGCCCACAAATACAGTCACTACACTTTACAGTATACAGTATATCCCGTGAAACGCTTTGAGACATGTCGATACCATGATAAGGCGCTATATCAAAGGCGGAGTATTATAATTATGAATATTAATATTAAAGGAGCTGTACAAATGTAATTTTATATTGTATTGTAATATTAATACAGGGCTGGAGTTTGTGTTGACCATCTTTAGACCCGAGTTGGAAATGAACTGAAAGTGTGCAAATGTTGGCTTTGTGCAGAAGATATAAAAGCAAAACAATGTTCAAACATCCTGTTCAGCATCATTTGAATTGTTTGTGGTTTCCTCTCCTCCCCACCCTCTCCCCACCCGCCACCTCTGGGCAACGGAAAGAGCAAGTGAAAGGCTTTCTGCTTTTCATAGCATTGAGATTTTTGCAGACAGCCTTAGACTTGGGCAAAGAGAGTGGTTTTGGGCAGACACATCTCAGTGCCGAGTTGTACACAGGCAACCTTTGTAGTCTGTGCCAGTCTGCACACAATCTACATGCTTATCGTATGTTGATTCCTGTAGTGTAGGGGTTCGATGTCCTCCGCAACATTGCCAGACGCCGCCAGTCCCTCAGGCTGCCGAAACCCTCACCCACGCATTAGTCACGTCAAGTCTCGATTACGGGAACTCCCCCCTCATCGGCTCCCCAACTCTTTCCTTCACAAGCTGTAGATCATCCAAAACTCTGCAGCTCATGTACTCTCACGCACCAGGCTCCGTGACCCCATCACCCCCACCCTCGCCCGACTCCACTGGCTGCCCATCCCCCCAGAAGATCGAATTCAAGATCCTCGTCCTTACTTTCAAAGCCGTCCATGCCCCTTGGGACATTCTCCCGATGTGAAAGGCGCTATACAAATGTAATCTTGTTGTTGCCCCCTCGTACTCTCTGACCTGCTGCCTCACTACCAATCTGCCCACTCATTCCGTTTAGCGGGCTCCGGCTTGCTCCATGTCTCCCGCCCGACCCGCCCTACCATTGGTGGCCGGGCTTTCAGCCCCTCTGCCCCCACACTCTGGAACTCCCTTCGCTTCCTCCCTTGCCTCCTTCAAGATCCTCCTCTTCGATCATGCCTTTGGTCACCCTCCCACCCCTCTGCCTTCCCCCACCCCTCCCCCATGCTCGGGCCCCGACATCTGACTGTTCAGCGCTTTGGGATGTCCTCCCGATGTGAAAGGCGCTCTATAAATGTAATTTTGTTGTTGTTGTTATTTGTGTAGTGGTTACTGCGCTCACCCCACAAGCGAGAGGACCCAGGTTCGATTCCCAGCCGGGGTGAAACCTTAGGCAACTTTCCTTACTCGTTATCCACACTCACACACCTCTGTTTGTAGCAGTAAGTAGGAACCCAGTTTTTAATCGATCGGCAGTTTGCTTTCTGGGGGTAATAATCCCAACAATAAATAAATAATTTGGTCCACAACCACGACTGGCTGCTGTGATCAATTAGCTGCCGAGTTTCATCCACGTAATACACAATCGGTTCACTTGACAGTATATCCTGTGAAGCGCTTTGAGATGTGATAAGGCTCTGTATCAAATGCAAGGATTATTATTATTATTGGTTTTATATCCTTTGATAACTGAGTACCCAAACCTAAACAATAATCCTGGAATTTGATCACGTTGTCGATTCATGAGATGGGGATCTCGATTTAATGTCTCACCTGAAGGACGGCACCTCCAGCAATGCAGCATTCCCCCAGCACTGCGTTGGAGCTTCATCTTAGATGATGTGATTCCACGTCCCACGTGAAGGTGGATGCATGGAATTTTCAGCTTGGTTTGGAGACTCTTAAGCACGGTGATGGGTTTCCACATGTGTCAGACACCCGGCTGAGCAAACAAATCCTCAACTGAGGCCTCTGGATAAAGGCTATCATTAATATACCGTTAATACGGTTAATCTGCCAATTGAGCCATGAGATTGAAGTCCGTATAGACCTGTCCATTCCCTCCATTCAGTGATCTCCGGCCTGCTCCGTGTCCCCTGCCCGCTCCACCATTGGTCGGGTCTTCAGCCTCTGCCTCCACCCGTTGAACTCCATCCCGCAGTCCCTTCAACTCGTTCCCTTCCTTACTTCCTTCAGCCTGTTCTTGAGACCCTCCTCTTCGCCCGCGCATTCGGTAACCCTCCTACCCCTACCCTCCACCCCTCCTGATCTCAAACCCCAGCTCGGGTGCAAATCCCCGACTGTCTCGTCAGCTTTGGGACGTGCTCCCGACGTGAAAGGCGCGGTGTAAGTGTAATTTGTTGTTGACATTGTCTCTCACACCTTACATTAGCAAATGCTTCCAGTTTCAAGATGTGTTGCAGCTCAGTTAATGTGCAACGGTATTTTTGATGGTTTAACGTGCCCACACACGTCAAGCACGAAAATCGGTCGCCACTGTGACAAATGCTCGTTTAACACAATTTCTTTCACCCCTGTTAAATAGCTGCCTGGTGCAGTTTAATTTTTTTTTCTCCCTTTCACGAGGAGAGTTGCTGGTGTTAAACCGACACTCGCGTAATCTTTTCTCTCTTTTCTCTCTCTCCCTCTTATTAAATGGTTGCAAGCTGAAGTCATGCAAATCTGCTAAATGTCAGGGTTTTCCAAAGTGTGATATTATAGCTTTTCTCTCCTTAGCCCTGGCTCAGAAAGCTGTTATATAATTTTTCGAGCGCTTGATATCATTTTTTTATTTACCGTCACCCACCCACCAGAGGAAACAGTTGCTCCCTATCTACTCTTATCAAAACCCCTCATCATTTTGAATACCTCTATTACATCTCTCCTTAACCTTCTCTGCTATAAGACGAATCTCAGCCTCTCTTGCCTCTCTACATAACTAAAGTCCACGTTGCTCCTCTGCATCCTCTCTAAGACCCTGACCTACATCAACAATAATAATAATAATAATAATCCTTGCATTTGATATAGCGCTTTATCACGTTGTTAGGATATATTGTATCGCTCCACAGGATATATTGTAAAGTGCAGTGACTGTGTATTTTATGGGCAAAACGCAGCAGCCAATTGCACACAGCAGTGTCCCACAAACAACCATCGAGTGTCCAAGTTGTATATATATATTTTTGGAAGGGATTATTAACCCTGAAAAGAAATAAGCCAATCAGTTAATGACCATGTTCCTATTTACCACTGGTAAGTGGCCTAAGGTTTCGCCCCGCCCGGGAATTGAAACCAGGTCATCTGGCCTGCGAGGCGAGCTCTCTAACCAAAACACTACATGATTCAGATGTGAAATATACAGATAAATCTTAGAGACCCAAGAACTTTGTTGCATTTGATTTATTTATCCGTTAAACATGCTCAGTGAGAAGCTTGGAAATGTAACAAGGAGAGGTTAGTGAGAAGCAAAAATTCAGTGCCAGCATTACTAATGGACCGACTTTGGAGTGAGTTTCAGATAAGGAACAGGAGGAGCACTATTCAGCACATTGAGCCTGTTCTGCCAGTTTATTATATCGTGGCAGATCTTTGAATTCCTTTTGTCCACCCTCTTTTCATGGGTCAAAAAAAGTTAAAATAACAACAGCAGATAACATTTACACAGCACAAAAAAAAACCAATCCACTAACAACCAGGTTCCTACTTACTGCGAGGTGAACAGAGGCATGCGGAGTAAGGAAACTTGCCTAAGGTTTCGCCCCTACAATATAAAATCTATCATGAAAAGTTCTTAAAATCAGCCGAATTTGAAAGCTGTTTTGCTTAAAATTGATTAAAAGACTGAAACGAAGACTTTTTTTCCAACAATTTGTCGCAGTCTTGAATGTTGAGGGTATAACAGTCTTCAAGCTGATACCAGGAGAAATGCCAATCCTCTGCACTGCTTAGGTTGCATCGTGTAGTGTAGTGGTTAGTGCAAGCGAGAGGACCCGGGTTTGATTCCCGGGAGGGGTGAAACCATAGTCTAGTTTCCTTACTCCACGCACACGCCTCCGTTTACCGAGCAGTAAGTAGTCAAAAAAGTTGTTAGTCGAAAAAAATAATGTGGTCACTCAACCCACGACCGTGTGTGTTTGTGGGACGCTGCTGTGCGCAATTGGCTGTCACAAAATACAGTCACTTTACCGTGTTTTCTCTGAAGTGCTTTGAAACGTCTCAACAGCGTGATAAGGCGCTATGTCGAACATAAGGATTATTATTATTATTATTTGAATCTAATTGAAGCGTACTCCATGGCTAGATCTGATGTCCTACTTCCTGCTCCGTGACGGGGTTCACTTGGGAAGTTGCTGATCATTGCGTAGACAATGGTCTCAGAAGGTGTGTGGCCATCAGCATCCTGGACACAAACAGCAGAGTTTAGAGTTTACCAACCTCCTAGCTACCACATAAACAAGATTTTATTCTGATCGGCCAGACCCGTTATCGGGCAGAGCCTTATCGGAACATTTGAGATGTCTCAAAGTGCTTCACAGAATATACTGTGAAGTGTAGTGACCGAGTATTTTGGGTAGATTCCTGATAATTTGACCCTGGTTTAACTTGGTCACTACAACTTAAGTTACCGTGCTGTCAAAATCCTGGCTGCATATCCCCCTGGAGTGACGATTTATCAGGAGTTTACAGTATATATTGAGAGGACCGTGGTTAGATTCCTGGGTTGGGTGAAACCTTCGGCGTATTTCCTTATTTCACACGCCTCTGTTTACCCAGTACTTACCAAGTACTTACCCAGTTGTTAGTCGATTGGCAGATCGCTTTCCGGGGGTAATGATCCCTCCAAAAATAATAATAGTAATAATTTGGTCACTCAATCGATGACTGTGGGACACTGCTGTGTGCAATTGGCTACTGTATTTTGTCACTACACTTTACAGTATATTCTGTGAAGTGCTTTGAGACATCTCAATGACTTGATAAGGCGCTATATCAAATGCAAGGTTTATTATTATTATTATTATTATAAGTAACTGGTTTTGAGCTGCAATAATGGAAGCAGTGCTTACCTGGGCCACTGCCTCGCCAGTGTCTGCTGCCACATCCAATCCCTTGCTCCTTCGTCCTGCAGCTAAATTAAAAACAGTTAACCAAAGGCATTAATACACAGAGCGATCTGAACAACACGTTTGCATTGATAGCTCACGCAGGGTGGCACTCCAGAGCACTTGATCACGGTTGAAGAGGAAGGTCTTCGGTCATGATCTAAAAGAGGGGAGGGAGGGGGCGAGGTGGAGTGATTGAGGGAGAGAGTCGCAAAGCTTCGGGCTGAAAGTGCGGCTGCCGATGGTGGAGCACGAGGGACAAGCAGGAGGCCGGAGCAAGTCAAACGGAGGCGGTGGGTAGTGGGTTGAGGAGAAATCAGGTCAGAGAGGTAGGGTGGTAACAGGGCATGAGGTATTTGAAGAGGAGTGAGAGGACCTTGAAAACGCAAACATTAAGATGCACTCACCGGTTCGCTTTCGAGCGAGGCAGTACAGAACCAAGACTGTACATATGGAGCCAGGAACAACAACCATGGGAATTATACTGCCACCCGCATCCGTTGTGTTGTTCGGAAGCAAACCGGTGCTGTTGTTTACTGAAGGCAAGTAAGTCCACATGTTATCAGATACTGGTAATATATAAAGCTGATTATATATAACATTGATAATGCGGTGTTTATGACATATATAACATTGATAATGCGGTGTTTATGACATGATATGATAGTAATAATCCTTGCAATTGTTATAGCGCCTTATCAGGTTGAGACGTCTCAAAGTGCTTCACAGAATATACTGTAAAGTGGATTGACTTGTGAATTTTGTAGGTGAAACACGGCTGCCAATTGTGCACAGCAGCGTCCCACAAACAGTCGTGGATTGAGTGAAGTCGATTTCTATGGTTTCTAAGTGGCCTACAAGCCCAGTGAGTGTTAGTTTGGGCAGATGGTAATGTGGTTTCCTCTGGTTCAGAGTTTTGAAGTCGGGGTCAGTCTGGACTGACACGAAGATGAGGAATTTTTTTCTGAGGAATTATTACCCATGGAAAAGCGATCTGCTAATCGTTTAACAACTGGGTTCCTACCTGCTGCTAGGTCGACATAGGCTAAGGTTTTGCCCTGCCCGGAAATCAAACCAGGTCCTCTCGCTTGCGAGGCAAATGCACTAAGCACTTCGCTTCAATACCAATGTGGGTCGAAAGAGCAGAGAATCGCGATAAGAATCGATGGCTTCATATCCTCTCATTCAGAGATTAGCGTAAGCTTATAAAGTACAGCCCGGCTACGTTTACAGCATTATTTCCATGACCTCATCAGTCTGACCGTGACTTCAAAACTCTGAAGCAGAGGAAACCATATTACCATCTGCCCAAACTCTAACACTTTACTGGGCTTGTCGGTCACATCAAAACCATAGAAATCTGCTTCATAAAAATAATAATAATCCTTGCAATCGATATCGCGCCTTATCGCGCCTCACAGCGCTTTACAGGATATACGGTGAAGTGGATTGCCTGGACATTTTCTCGGCAAAACGTAGCAGCCACTTGCGCACAGCAGTGTCCCGTTGCATATTGGTTAGAGCGCTCACCTCGCAAGTGATGGGACCTGGGTCCAATTACCAGAGGATGCATTTCATTACTCCACGCGCCTCTGTTTACGAGCAGCAAGTTGATAGTTGATTGGCGGTTTGCTTTCGGGGCGAATAATGCCTCCTCCTCCCAAAATAATGGCAACAATAATTTGGTCACTCAATTCACGACTCTTTGTGGCTCACTGCTATATGCTTCACAGGATATACTGTGTCGTGATGTACAGTGTCGTGACTGTGAAACGCGGCAACCAATTTGCACACAGAAGTGGCCCACAACAGCCATGGAGTGAGTGATCAATCTTATTTGGGGGATTGTTGGCCAGGACACCCGGAGAGAGAGGAACTCCCCTCTCTTTTCAAACAGCGCCGCAGGAGATCTTTAACATCCACCTGAACAGGCAGACGGGACCTCGGTTTAACGTCTCATCCAAAGGACAGCGTCTCCAGCAATGCAATCTCTCCCCAGCGCTGCATCAGCTTAGACTGTGATGATTCCAAGTCCCGAGTTGGGGCTTGAACCCACACAGAGGCCAGAGCGCTACCACTGAGCCAACACAGCCACAAAAGTCTGTTAGCTCTTATTTCATGAGTTGTTGCATTCAGCAAGCGTGTGCGCGGGGGACAGTGGTTAACCTCCTCTCGCTCTCTCTCCCAGTATCAGCAGGCGTCTGTGTAACCTGTCTGTGTCTACGAGTCCGCACATGTCTGTGTAAGGAGGTTATGTGATTAACAGTCAGAATCAGCAGAAAGGCATTGCTGCTTTTCCACCATTGTACATTTTCAGTTTCCCAATTTGTCATTTGACTTAGGACATATTCATTTTTAGTATCTTCCTCATCGCTGGTGCCTCCCCATCCATCGGTCTGTCTGCCCTTGGGACGTCCTCCCAAAATGAAAGGCACTCTACAAATCCAATTGGTGGTTGTTGTTGCCTGTCCGTCCATCCCTCCTTCCCTCCCTCCATCCACCCGTCCGTTTTATTATTAAATAAATCATATTTTTTTTAAATTTGGTCGCTCGAACCACGGCTGTTCGTGGCCACTGCTGCGCACAATTGGCTGCCACGTTTCAACGACAAATTACACGAGCAATTCACTTCACAGGTTATTCTGTGAAGCGCTTTGAGACGTCTCAACGACGTGATAAGGCGCTATAATCAAATGCAAGGATGATTATCATTATTACTATCATTATTGTCAGCTTGAACGTACCTGTTTCTGTGATAACTGTTAGGTTGATTTCTTTCGCTTGTGAAAATCCTGCAGTTTCAACTTTAACTGTGTAGGTGCCGGTGTCATTCAATTCCAAGTTGTCAAGTAGTAGTGAGGCATTCTCGGGAAAGATGGTTGTTCGACTCTCGTAGGATTTTGCGGTGTCTCCTGTCCCAGAACAATTTAATGTAGATGCCTGGAAGCTCAACAATGTACACCACCTCGTATACACAAGGATTGGTTTCAGTGAATGTTGGCAAGTCCAGGTAATTTTCACGTGATCACTGCGTGGGGTTCTGTATGAAACTGGCAGGAGAACTGAGCCATGCAATGTGCCGTTCACCGCTGTCTGCTGCACAGTCAGTTCAAGGGCCTCAGCAGAGCCTGCGATAAAATAGTATAATAATAATCAGAATAATAATAATGAACCTTACATTTGATGTAGCGCTTTGTCATGTCATTGGGACGTCTCAAAGTGCTTCACAGAATATACTGTAAAGTGATTTGACTATATATTTTGGCAAAACGTGGCAGCCAATTGCGCACAGCAAGGTCCCATAAACTGTCGCGGACTGAGTGACCAACTTATTTTTTTAGGGATAATTTTTGGAGTCCTGTAGCTCAGTGGTTAGAGCACTCGCTTTGCGAGCGAGAGACCTGAGTTCAATTCCAGGCAGAGGGCCAAACCTCGGGCAAGTTTCCTTACTCCACACAGAGCCTAATAATAATCCCTCCAAAACCAAAAACAATAATAAATTGGTCATTTTCAATCCACGACTGTTTGTGGGACATTGCTGTGCGCCATCGGCTGCCGCGTTCGCCCACAAATATACATTCAATTCACTTTACAGTGTGTTCTGTGATGCACTTTGGGACGTCTAGAAGCGCTATATCAAATGCAAGGATTATTATTGTTATTACTCCCAGAAAGCGATCCGCCAATCAATTAACAACTGGTTTCCAATTTACTGCCATGTGTGGCAATTTACGTGTGGAGTAAATAAGCTTTGGCTTTCCAAACCCTGGGTCCCAGACCTCATCGACGAGAATAAAAAAATAAAAGTAAATAATGATTTGGTCACTTAATCCACGTGTTTGTGGGACCCTGCTGTGTGCAATTGGCTGCCGTGTTGCGTCCATAAAATAATAATAATCCTTGCATTTGCTCTAGCGCCTTACCGCATCATGGCGACATCTCACAACACTTCACGGATTCACAAAAGAGTCCTGTCATTCAGTGGTTAGAGCAGTAAGTACGAACCCGGTTGTTCAGTCGATTGGCGGATCGCGTTTCCGGGGGTAATAATTCCTTCAGAATAATAAGAATACTAAGTTGGTCACTCAATCCACGACGCTGCTGTGCGTAATTGGCTGCCGTGTTTTGCCCACAAAATATGCAGTCAATTCACTTTACAGTATATTCTGTGAAGCGCTTTGAGAGTCTCGAACACGTGACAAGGCACGATAATCGAATGCAAGGATTATTATTATTTTACTGAAAAGTGTATTGACTGTATATTTTGTGGGCCAACTTCGCTTGGCTGTATATTCTGCGAAGCGCTTTGGGACATCTCGACAATGGGATGAGCCGCTATATCGAAGGCGAAGGTTAAATTATGATTTATTAGTTATAACATTGCATGCACTGGCCGATCATTGTATCTGTTATACAACAATAATAATAATAATAATAATAATCCTTGCATTTGATATAGCGCTTTTCACGTCGGGAGGACGTCCCAAAGCGCTTCACAGAACACACTGTAAAGTGAATTGACTGTATATTTGTGGGCGAACGCGGCAGCCAATTGCGCACAGCAATGTCCCACAAACAGTCGTGGATTGAAAATGACCAATTTATTATTGTTTTTGGTTTTGGAGGGATTATTATTAGGCTCTGTGTGGAGTAAGGAAACTTGCCCGAGGTTTCACCCTCTGCCTGGAATTGAACTCAGGTCTCTCACTTGCAAAAAAACAAATACGTGGCATCCAATGTGTGATTGCACCAAGCAGTATTTGTTACACGTGTGAGCTTGGAAATGCACAGACACGTCTGTGTCTCCTTTTTCACGTTCTACATTAAGTCTCAAGATATGTCAGCCCGGCTCGGCTTGGAGCCTGGCTCGCGTCTCTGAGTGAGAATCCTGACACCCCAGTGAAATATTGTGGTGGGTTGTGTTGTTGGAGGTGCTGTCGCTTGTATGAGACGTTAAATTGATGTCCTGCGTGATTATATAAACATCTTATATAGTTACTAGTTGTACCCGTTGCTGTTACGCTTGCAACCAAACAATCGAATATGGATTGTAGATTTCAGTGTTATAACACTTTATATTAGATTATCATACTTTATATTAGATTATCATACTTTATATTAGATTATTATACTTTATATTAGATTATTATACTTTATATTAGATTATTATACTTTATATTAGATTATTGTACATCATATTAGATTATTATACTTTATATTAGATTATTACACTTTATATTAGATTATTAATGTAATATAATATTAATATAATTGTGGAGTCCTGTAGCTCAGTAATTAGATCACTCGCCTCGCAAGTGAGAGACCTGGGTTCATTTCCCGGCAGGATAAAACCTTCGACGAGTTTCCTTACTCCACACGCCTGATGATAATCCCTCAAAAAACCCAATAATGATTTGTTCACCTCAATCCGCGGCTGTTTGAAGGCCGCGTTTCGCCCACAAATATGCAGTCAATTCATTTTACAGTCTGTTCTGTGAAGCGCTTTGAGACGACTGGAAGACGTGAAAAGCGCTATATCAAATATACAAGGATGATTATTATACTTTACATTATATTATATTAATATATTTTATATTATACTTTATATTAGATTATTACTGTACTAGTAAAACAATGTCTGTGTGTGTATCAGTCAAGATCAATGATTGATTGACGTAAAGACATGATATAAAGCTCTGGCAGGCGCGAGTGTCGTGGACATTTTTTTTAATAAAAAAAAATATCGTAATCCTTGCATTTCATGAAGCGCTTTTCACGTCTTCGATTTTTTTTTATATTTAAAGAATGTTTTAATATTTAAGCCCCAAAATATGAGGTGCGCATGCCACAAAGCAGCCACTGAGGAAATCACACACCGTTCCAGAGAGAGATATCTGTACTAAAGTGGCGACAGAAAATCATGGGCATATTTTTTTGGGGGAAATCTCCTATTTGACATTTGCTGTAGCGCCTTCACGCTGTCGAGGCGTCTCAAAAGTGCTTCACAAGATACACGGCAGAGAGTAGTGACTCCATGTCTCCCGCCCGACCCGCCCTACCATCGGTGGCCGGGCTTTCAGCCTCTCTGCCCCCACACTCTGGAACTCCATCCCACAGTCCCTTCGCCTCACTTCCTCCCTCGCCTCCTGCAAGGCCGGTCTCGAGACCTTTCTCTTCGATCGTGCCTTTGGTCGCCCTCCCACCTCTCTGCCTCCCCTCACCCCTACACCACCGCTCCCCCCCACGCTCGGGCCCCGACACCCGACTGTTCAGCGCTTTTGGGACGTCCTCCCGACATGAAAGGCGCTCTATAAAATGTCGTGTTGTTGTTGTTGGCGAAATGCGGCAGCCAATTTCACACAGCAGTGTCCCACACACAGTGGTGGATTGAGTGACTAAATTATTATTTTATTATTTCTTTTATTACGGAGCTTGAAGTCTGCAAAATGCCTGTGGTCTATAAAATGTCTATAAAACATAGTTACCGCTTTTGACAATAATAGCTGGTTATAAAATAAATTATTGTATGAGATCTTATGTAATATATATATTAATAATCTTTATGCACTGAAATTACAATTGAAGACTGAAAACATAGTAGAGAGAGAAACTCAATTAAATCGCTGAAATCAACAAATACTTAATCGTAGAGTGAAGAGACTTGTGGCCAAATAATAGTAATAAACCTTGCATTTGATATAATAATAGCATAATAATAATAATAATCCTTGCATTTGATACAGGGCTTTTCACATCTTCTCGAATAGACTGTAAAGTGAATTGATTGTATATTTGTGGGCGAACGCGGCAGCCAATTGTGACAGCGATGTCCCACAAACAGTCGTGGATTGAAAATGACCAATTTATTATTGGTTTTGGTTTTGGAGGGATTATTATTAGGCTCTGTGTGGAGTAAGGAAACTTGCCCAAGGTTTGGCCCTCTGCCTGGAATTGAACTCAGGTCTCTCACTTGCAAAGCGAGTGCTCTAACCACTGAGCTACAGGACTCCACGGGCCTCTTATCACATCATTGAGATGTCTCAATGCGCTTCACAGAATATACTGTAAAGTGGATTGAGCGTATATATTTTTTGTGGAAAAAACAGTCGTGGATTGAGTGACCAAATTCTTTTTTTTTTTACCCCCAGAGATAAATTTATTTATTATTAGCAATCAATAAATAAACTTTACTATTTACTCTTGGTAAATAAAAGATCTGTTATATATAGAACGGGGAATGAAATGCCACCGGTGTGTGGGCTTAAGATTTTTTTTGTAGCATTTCAGAGCTTTCACAAGGGAATTTGACAAATTTCGAAGGAAAAACATGGAAGTATTTGGGGAAAAGGCAGGAGAGGAATGTCGTACACAGAGCTCTCCCCAGAGAGCAGGCACGGTGGCCTTCTGTGCTGTAAAATTCTAATAATAATAATAATCCTTGCACTTGATCCAGCTTCACAGAATCTACTATAAAACTCACTCACCTAAGTCATATCAGTCGGGACCATAACACTTAATCTGACCGTGTGAGTTACAGGCAAATCCTATTTAGTCAATAATAATACTAATAGTAAGCTTTGCATTTGATATGGTTCATTATCATGTTGTTGAGACGTTTCGAAGCGCTTTGCAGGATGTACTGTAAAGTGAACTGAATCTGTATTTTGTGAGCGAAACACGGCGGCTAATTGCGCACAGCAGCGTCTGCCCCACAAACGGTCAAAAAACATCACGAGAAATAATTGCATCCATATGTCTGTGAGTCAGGATTGAGAGGCCAGAAATTTAAGTTACTCCTAAAAAAATAATTAAAGTGTTGGTTCGAAAACAATATTTTACACGATAGGTTGTGGCATTGTGGAATTTTCTGACACAAATGCAGTTGAGGCAGAATCCATCGATTCTTTCAAAGGGAACGCAGACAGATGTCTGAAAAGGAGCATTATCACCCAAAAAATACAGTCAGTTTACTTTACAGTATATTGTGAAGCGCTTTGAGATATCTCAACAACACGATAAGGCGCTATATATTAATGTTAATCCTTGTATTTAATATAGCGTCTTATCACGTCTTCGAGACGTCTGAAAGCGCTTCACAGGATATGCTGCAAAGTGAATTGACTGTACATTTTGTGGGCGAAATGTGGTAGCCAATTGCGCACAGCAGCGTCCCACAGAGAGTCGTGGATTGCGTGAAGAAATTATTATTATTTTTGAAGGAATTATTACCCCCGGAAAAGCAATCTGTAAATCGATTAACAAACAACCAGGTCCTACTTGTTGCTCGGTAAACGGTAGCGTGTGGAGTAAGGAAACTTGGCCAACATTTTGCCGCGGTGGGAATCGAACCCAGGTATCTCGCTGGCGAGGTGAATGCTCTTAACCACTGAGCTACAGGACTCTATCAAATGCAAGGATTATTATTATTATGGAGTCCTGTAGCTCAGTGGTTAGAGCACTCGCCTCGCAAGCGAGAGGACTTGGGTACGATTCCCGGGCAGGGAGAAACATTGGGCAAGTTTCCTTACTCCACACACGCGCCCGTTTACTCAGCAGTAAGTAGGAACCCGATTCTTACTGGATTGGTGGATTGGTTCCGGGGATAATAATCACTCAAAAAAGAAATTATTAAATAATAATGTGGCCACTCAATCTATGACTGTTTGCGGTGTGCAATCGGCTGCCATGCTTCTCCCGCAAGTATACAGTCAGTGCGTGTATATGTGCAAGGGTTATTATTAACAACCTCAAACTACACGACCAATCTAACTTCACAGCACACCATACAAAATTTCAAACCCTAAAAGAGTCAGAAATAATATGAATTATAATAATCCTTGCGTTTGATAGGGTGCCATTGAGATGTCAAAAGAATATCCTACAAAGTGAATTGAAGCGAAGTGCTGCGCGATGGTAAGGAGGATACCAGCAGTCTGCTGGAAGGAGGTGAGAAACTTGGGTGGCTGGTACGTGCTCTTTGAATGAAGCATCAAGGAACCGCTATCTTCCAGTTAATCATAATAATAAGCCTTGCATTTGATATAGCGCCTTATCACGTTGTTGCGATCTCTCAACGAACTTCACAGAATACTGTATATTGTAAGTGAATTGACTGTATTTTGTGGGCGAACCTTTGCAGCTATAGGCGCACAGAGGTGTCCCACAAACAGTCATGGATTGAGCGACTCAATTATTATTTGAACACTTAAAGAATTGGATAAATTGATTCGAAAGGGTTCAGAGTTAACGGGTCTTAAGGTCGGTTTAAATCCCTGTCCCGTTTGCTCCGAATTCTGCAACCCGTTTGTGAAGCCAAGACAAGGTAAGACGAGGGGAATCGAGAACCCGTGTAACTTAACAACAAAGCAAAGAGGAAAACATGAGACTTACAGGCGACGACGGTAAGGAAGACACAGGCAACCTGCTGGAAGGAGGTGAGGGACTCGGGTGGCTGGTACATGCTGTTCAGTGGAGAGACACGCACGAGGGGTGAGGATGACGTTAGAGATCAGAGAGGTGCTGCCACACACTGCTCGCCTCACCTGCTCTGTGGTTTCACAAGCACCCGACGCACGGCACACACAAACAAGCCACACGACACACACACGACGCACACAAACAAGCCCACCCGACACACGCACAGCCACACGACACACACACAAACAAGCCCACCCGACACACGCACCGCCACACGGCACACACGCACGACACACACACACGCACGACGGAAAGGATGTGACTCAGAATTACCCCAACTCACACCTCACCCCAATCACACCGCTTTGTTTAAAGAGAGACAATAATAATTATAGTATATAATATGTATTAATAATCCTTGCATTTGATACAGCGCCTTATCACGTTATCGAGACGTCTCAAAGCGTTTCACGGAAACACTATAAAGCAAATTGACTGTATATTTTGTGGGTGAAACACGGCTTCCAATTGCTCACAGCAGTGTCCCATAAACAGTCAAGGATTCAGAGACCAAATTATAATTTTTTTTGGAGGGATTATTACCCACTTAATAATTATTTATAGTTATTGCACGCAAAATACACTAGATTCTGTGAGGCGCTTCAAGACGTCTCACTGACATGATAAGGACCTATATCAAATGATATGTTATCAATTATTATTAGTATAGAAAATAACAATACAACAATAGTTATTGCCTGTTATTATAATAATTAGATTATATATCAAATATGTTGCATATAGTACAAATTCTCGCACTGCCTCTCTTTCGCTTTCTCTCTCTCCCTCTCTCCGCCTTTCGTCCAACGAGGCACACAGACCCCGGTAAATTGGCCGAACCTCTCCACCCTGATTCATTTGTATTCTCATCCGCTTTAAATATCTGTTAATTCAGACATAAAGCCCGTCAAAATGCTGTGGCTACTCACTCACTCACTGATGGAGATGGGAGGAGTCGCATTGCGATTGGAGCCCTTGCAGGCCCTGACGATGGCGATTCCTATTTGTGTAACACAGACTGTATGTTTCTATAATAATAATCCTTGCGCTTGATATCGCGCCGTATCACGTCTTCGAGACGTCTCAAAGCGCTTTTGGAGTCCTGTAGCTCAGTGGTTAGAGCACTCGCTTTGCAAGTGAGAGACCTGAGTTCAATCCCAGGCAGAGGGCCAAACCTCGGGCAAGTTTCCTTACTCCACACAGAGCCTAATAATAATCCCTCCAAAACCCAAAACAATAATAAATTGGTTATTTTCAATCTACGACCGTCTGTGGGACATTGCTGTGCGCAATTGGCCGCCGCGTTCGCCCACAAATATACAGTCAATTCACTTTACAGTGTGTTCTGTGAAGCGCTTTGGGACGTCCTCCCGACGTGAAAAGCGCTATATCAAATGCAAGGATTATTATTATTATTATTATTATTTACAGAATATACGCCACAGTGAATTGACTGTACATTTTGTGGGTGAAACAGCAGTGTCCCACAAACGGTGACCAATTATACATACAATTATACATATAATCTGATATAATTATTACATTATTATAAAAGGCAATAACTGTTATATTATTTTCTATACTAATAAAGCATTATCGCAATAATCTATAATATATTATTGAAACATCATTTGATATAATAATAATACTTGCATTTGATATAGCGCTTTTCACGTCTTCTAGACAGCTCAAAGCGCTTCACAGAATATAGCGTCTCGTCACCTCATTGAGACGTCTCGAAGCGCTTCACAGGATATACTGTCAAGTGAAGTGACTGTATTTTGTGGGCTATTATTATTATTATTATTTGCTCTCTTTAAACAAAGTCAGGTGGCCAGGTCCCCGTGAAATGAGTGAGTGGGTGGCGGGGGAGGGCTGTTGGGGTGAGGTGTGAGTTAGGGTCACATCCGTTCCCCTCTGTGTGGGAGTGTTTGTGTGCGTGGGTGGGTGTGTGTGTGTGTGTCGTGTGTGTGTCGTGTGACTGTGCGTGTGTCGGGTGGGCTTGTTTGTGTGTGTCGTGTGTGTGTCGTGTGGCTTGTTTGTGTGTGGCGTGCGTCGGGTGCTTGTGAAACCACAGAGCAGGTGAGGCGAGCAGTGTGTGGCAGCACCTCTCTGATCTCTAACGTCATCCTCACCCCTCGTGCGTGTCTCTCCACTGAACAGCATGTACCAGCCACCCGAGTCCCTCACCTCCTTCCAGCAGGTTGCCTGTGTCTTCCTTACCGTCGTCGCCTGTAAGTCTCATGTTTTCCTCTTTGCTTTGTTGTTAAGTTACACGGGTTCTCGATTCCCCTCGTCTTACCTTGTCTTGGCTTCACAAACGGGTTGCAGAATTCGGAGCAAACGGGACAGGGATTTAAACCGACCTTAAGATCCGTTAACTCTGAACAAGAATAAAGCATTTGAAATGTATTGACTGTATTTTACAGACAAACGTATATAATAGTATAATAACATATAATAATCCTTGTGTTTGATACAGCGCCTTATCATGTCATTGAGACGGCTCAAAGCACCTCACAGAATATAATAATAATCCTTGCATTTGATATAGCGCTTTTCACGTCGGGAGGACGTCCCAAAGCGCTTCACAGAACACACTGTAAAGTGAATTGACTGTATATTTGTGGGCGAACGCGGCAGCCAATTGCGCACAGCGATGTCCCGCAGACAGTCGTAGTTGAAAATGACCAATTTATTATTGTTTTGGGTTTTGGAGGGATTATTATTAGGCTCTGTGTGGAGTAAGGAAACTTGCCCGAGGTTTGGCCCTCTGCCTGGAATTGAACTCAGGTCTCTCGCTTGCAAAGCGAGTGCTCTAACTACTGAGCTACAGGACTCCACAATATACTGTAAAGTGAATCCACTTTGTATTTTGTGGGCGAAATGCAGCAGCCAATTGTGCACAACAGTGTCCCACAAACAGTAGTGGATTGAGTGAACAAATTATTATTCATTCAGTTCGTTTTTTTTGTGAAGGGATTAATGCCCCCAGAAAGCGATCCGCCAATCGACTAACAACCGGGTTCTTACTTGCCGCTAGACAAACAGAGACGTGTCGAGTAAGGAAACTTGCCTAAGCTAATACTTTTGAGTTAGTTTATCCAAATAAATGTCACAATACTTGTAGACGGCGTCGTAACTATAACACTAGACATTCAAACCGCCTGTAATTTTATAATTTTTAACAATTGCTTTTTATTATATTTTGACTTAACAATTCATGTAACTATTTTGTCTATCATACCTAGAAACCTGTCGTGTATTCCCTTGATTTTTTAGAAAGTTGAGGGGTCATCGGAGGTGTTTAAAATGATAAAGGGATTCGATAGGGTAGCTACGATTTCTTCTGGTGGGGGAATCCAGAATGTGATAAGGCACCTTATCAAATGCAAGGATTATTATTAATAAAAATAAATATAGTGAACAATGATTGTTTATGGCATTGCACCTATAATATATAGACAAAGCACCTCATAGTGGAGTCCTGTAGCTCAGTGGTTAGAGCACTCGCTTTGCAAGCGAGAGACCTGAGTTCAATTCCAGGCAGGGCGAAACCTTGGGCAAGTTTCCTTACTCCACACAGAGCCTAATAATAATCCCTTCAAAACCAAAAACAATAATAAATTGGTCATTTTCAATCCACGACTGTTTATGGGACGCTGCTGTGCGCAATTGGCTGCCGCGTTCGCCCACAAATATACGATCAATTCACTTCACAGTATATTCAGGGAAGCGCTTTGAGACATCTAGAAGATTATTATTATTATTATATGCAAGGATTATTACTATCACTCTCATAATAATACTAATCCTTGCTTTCATAAAGCACCTTATGGCACCGTTAAGGCATCTCAAAATTCTTCACAGAGTATACTGTGTATTTTGTGGGCGAAATGTTGCAGCCAATTTGCACACAGCAGCGTCCCACAAACAGTCGTGGGTTGAGTGTCCAAATTATTGCTTTTTTAATTTAATATTTTTTAAATATTAAATAATTAAGCAGAGGGCCAAACCTCGGGCAAGTTTCCTTACTGCACACAGAGCCTAATAATAATCCCTCCGAAACCAAAAACAATAATAAATTGGTCATTTTCAATCTACGACTGTTTGTGGGACATTGCTGTGCGCCATTGGCTGCCGCGTTCGCCCACAAATATACAGTCAATTCACTTCACGGTGTGTTCTGTGAATCGCTTCACAGAACAAGCGCTATATCAAATGCAAGGATTATTATAATTGGATCCTTGCCATTAACCAATAAAGGTCTGAACACAGAGTTGCACAATCAAGACAGTTTATTCAACAACAAGGCGACAACGACACATGCAACAGAAATATATTAGCAGATAAGCAGTCTTGTCTGATGACCAGCTCGCGGCTCAGCGACCTGTAATTCTTATTCTGTGCAGCTCAACTTTTCTTTGGTGGGTTAGTTGCATTTGTACCCAACTACTTGGTGTATTTGTGATCTGCTCGTGATGGTACTTTTCCACTAGTCTATGTGCGCTCGTGTAGGTCCCTCTTGCTTGCTGAGACCAGTTGTCCTCCTTACTTAGCTCCTTGTCCGCACTCCCTGTTCTTCCTCAATCAGTATGTTTGCATTCCCGTGGTCTCCAGTCAGGCGCCCAACTCATAGGCCGCTGCGTATGAGCCATTAAACCTTTTCTTATACTAACACCGCAAAGCACTTTGAGACGTCTCAACAATGTGATAATCCGCTGTATTAAATGAAGGGATTATTATTATTTTAATTATTATTTTATCGCAGGCTCTGCTGAGGCCCTTGAACTGACTGTGCAGCAGACGGTGAACGGCACATTGCATGGCTCAGTTCTCCTGCCAGTTTCATACAGAACCCCACGCAGTGATCACGTGAAAATTACCTGGACTTGCCAACATTCACTGAAACCAATCCATGTGTATACGAGGTGGTGTACATTGTTGAGCTTCCAGGCATCTACATTAAATTGTTCTGGGACAGGAGACACCATGGAATCCTACGAGAGTCGAACAACCATCTTTCCCGAGAATGCCTCACTACTACTTGACAACTTGGAATTGAATGACACCGGCACCTACACAGTTAAAGTTGAAACTGCAGGATTTTCACAAGCGAAAGAAATCAACCTAACAGTTATCACAGAAACAGGTACGTTCAAGCTGACAATAATGATAGTAATAATGATAATCATCCTTGCATTTGATTATAGCGCCTTATCACGTCGTTGAGACGTCTCAAAGCGCTTCACAGAATAACCTGTGAAGTGAATTGCTCGTGTAATTTGTCGTTGAAACGTGGCAGCCAATTGTGCGCAGCAGTGGCCACGAACAGCCGTGGTTCGAGCGACCAAATTTAAAAAAAATATGATTTATTTAATAATAAAACGGACGGGTGGATGGAGGGAGGGAAGGAGGGATGGACGGACAGGCAACAACAACCACCAATTGGATTTGTAGAGTGCCTTTCATTTTGGGAGGACGTCCCAAGGGCAGACAGACCGATGGATGGGGAGGCACCAGCGATGAGGAAGATACTAAAAATGAATATGTCTTAAGTCAAATGACAAATTGGGAAACTGAAAATGTACAATGGTGGAAAAGCAGCAATGCCTTTCTGCTGATTCTGACTGTTAATCACATAACCTCCTTACACAGACATGTGCGGACTCGTAGACACAGACAGGTTACACAGACGCCTGCTGATACTGGGAGAGAGAGCGAGAGGAGGTTAACCACTGTCCCCCGCGCACACGCTTGCTGAATGCAACAACTCATGAAATAAGAGCTAACAGACTTTTGTGGCTGTGTTGGCTCAGTGGTAGCGCTCTGGCCTCTGTGTGGGTTCAAGCCCCAACTCGGGACTTGGAATCATCACAGTCTAAGCTGATGCAGCGCTGGGGGAGAGATTGCATTGTTGGAGACGCTGTCCTTTGGATTAGACGTTAAACCGAGGTCCCGTCTGCCTGTTCAGGTGGATGTTAAAGATCCTGCAGCGCTATTGGAAAAGAGCAGGTCCTCAGCCAAAGGTTGGATCATCACGAAGAGATAATAAAATTAAACCTTGCATTTGATATTCGATATAATTACAATTACTACATGTTACGGCGAATCCCGTGAAGCGCTTTGTGACGCGCCCCCGACCACAGGTATCCTCGGTTTTAAATGTGCCATTTATTTGTTTAAAGATCTCCCACGGCACCATTGGAAAAGAGAAGGGTGTTTTTTTTTTCTCTCTCTCCCCTGGATAACATTGGTCACTCTCTGCATGACTGTTTGTGCAAACTGGCTGCCATGTTTTGCCGACTAAATGTACAGTCACTCCATTTTACGGTATATTCTGTGAAGCGCTTTGAAACGTCTCAACAACGCGGTGCGGCGCGATACTAAATTCGAGGACTGTCAGCACCGTTATGTCAAAGGCAAGGATCATTATGGTTGCATATTATAACAACTGCATTATCAGTGTTTGATGACGTGTTTTCTTGTCTGCAGTTGACCTCAGTGCAGGGTGTTTGCCTCCTGTGAGCACAGAGGTTCAGGTTCACAAGATCATCTTTTACGGTAAAGTTGCCCTGCTTGTCATTGCCGGCTCCATATCTATAGTCTTGGGCCTGCACTGCCTCGCTCGAAGGAAAACTGGTGAGTGCGTCTCAAGGTTTAGCGTTTTCAAGATCTTCTCGCTCGTCTTCAAATCCCTTCATGGCCTGGCACCTCCCCACCTCTCCGACCTGTTTACCCCACAGCCCGCTGCCTTCACTCGACTGGCTCCGGCCTCCTGCTTGACCCTCGTTCCCTCCGCTCCACCATCGGTGGCCGTACGTTTAGCCCCTGCGCCCGGAAGCTTTGGATCTCTCTCCCGCCAATCCCTCCACCTCACCCGCTCCTTCCCCGCGTTTAGATCACGACTGAAAATAATATAAATACATAGATACATACATGCAGCCGGGACACTGACAGCATGATGGCTTACGTCAGGTGAGTCCACTGGCGGCCCGTGGGCCACATCAGGCCCGCAGGAGGATTCCAATACAGAGGACACGCAGGTCCCAAGCCAATCAGGAGAGCCAATCTGGACTGGACAATCCATTAGTTTGGGGTCAGCCGGGTATCCGACACACACGGAAACCCATCGTCGTTGCTTAAGAGCCTCCAAACCAAGCTGAGATTTCCACACATCCCACCTACACCTGGAAATCCCAGAGACAGATTGTTGGAATGGAATCCACACTCTCTCCCCGGAGG